TGAGAATAAATAAACAACCGTACATACATGTTTAACCTTCATATAAGGTTTCTGAATCAAAAACACACATAAATGAACAAAGGATGAAGTTGGACATGGTTCACCGTGGAACAACCCCACCTGTATCACTGAAGAGTGTCATTGTGCATATGCTGTATAACTAAAACTTATTTTCTTCTTAGGATTTGCACCATTTTCTGCTTTCTAAATTCAAGCACTAGCAAGAACCTACAACTACAAGTTATGCGATTTATGGTGGCAGAAGTGTTGGATCCATCTAGATGGCAGTTATACACATAAAAGACTCATTCCTTAGTCTTAACCTTCACCTATGCTGAATCAGAATTTAACTTCAGAACCGCAATAACTAACTACCATTCCATATACAGCTCACGTTTACCCTTATATTAAAATTGAAACACCAGTGTCACGGTTACCGAGGTGCTTAATACACAAAATCGTCACCAAATCAGAATCAAGCTGTTCAAACAGAAGGAGCAGGGGCACATTTATTGCCCCTCTATGTACAGACAAATCTATCACCCATGTAAACCAGGTGGTCACATTCTGTGAGGACCATTCACCATTTCCCGTTAAACCAACATGCATAGATTCCTTTTTATGACAAGTTGAACAAAAGGAGGAATCATGGATTCGTATTTCCAAAGTGGCAAGCAATCAACATCAAGAAGCCAAATAATCTCAGACACAAAACGACATAAAGGTGCCCAAACAAGAACCGAAGATCCCGGAACCTCCACAAAATTCAAAGGACGCAAATTTCCAACCAACAAAGCACAATGAAAATTTTCAAACCCAGTACACTCATCACAGCCCAAAATCCAAACCCAAAAAGGGTGGTCTCAAAACGACGCCTTTTTGCAGAAAACAGAGAAAAAAAACGACATGATAAAGGGGGAAAAAGATGGGTAAGAAACATACAGAAGTTTTGGTATCGTAAGCAAGCCAGACGGTGGAGAACTGACCCCAACCCAGTTTCCTCTGCGCTATGTACCTGCCGCCGCCGAACTGATCGCCGACTCTGACGGCGTGGTACCCTCCTTTCCGGTAAGAGTCGAATCCCTCATCGTCTTCCTCCGACCCCGACGACGACGAACACGACATCACCTTCTGATCTATTCAGATTCACCAAAAGAAACTCAAAATCTGATTCTTTCTTGAAAATTCTCCAGTGATTCGCTCTGCTTTCCCCTTTTGATATATCTTCTTTAACTCGGAAATTGCTTGGACGCGAAGTCTTTGTTTAGGAGGATGAAGCGNATCGCAAAGGAAAACATACACAAGCAGCACACAACAAAGAAGCAAGGGTGAGCTAGATAAACAAACAGTAATCATATAGTTCAATCAATAAATATCATCGTGCTTAGCTACATATAAAGAACAATCAAGGCATAACATTTTAAACCATGACTCAAACACTCACACGACTCATCCAGATTGGTATAACTGTCGAACTATTGGTCGTCTTTGCACTTGCGTAGTTCAGCTGACACTCTCCAACATTATGCAAGGTAAATCCCCCATCTGTCTATGTCTAAACTCTAAGACTATAGACGAGAACCTCCCTCTACTCTCACCACTTACACTGCTCTCCTCTATTTGAGCATGAACAGTGCTTCGAGTGTAGGGATAGACATACCAGTTCAAAACTCCATACAGTTATACAGAACAACAACAACACCCCACACATCACTTCCAATCATCTCATGATGTCCACTTCATACTCAATTACGTCATTGTAGTTCACATTCATATGCTTTACAACCACACAACAACACCATACATACATCCTGGCAGTCAAACAACATCAATCAATCCAAACAGAAGAAGAAAAATGAGTGAGATCCCCTACATGCACCAGTTTACGTTCATATATATATATGATAACAATTTATATCATGTTCTTATTTGGTAAACTATTTGTCTAATTTTCATCATAATAGAGATCTTACTTTCCCCCAATTGATCACCGGAGAGGATTCAGATGTCTGACCGCATCAGACTCACCTTCGACGCTAGCACATATGACTAGTCACAACGTACTGGACCAAGCCCGGGCTGCTCTATGATCAGGGATGTGCCAACTCAGGTTTTTAAGACTCCTCTATCCTACCAACAAAGAAAGACTTTTAACAAGTTATGATTTAATTATCTAAGTTATTAAAATTGTCCTACAACGTTCTAGACATCAAATACCCAATTATATATATCACCTTTCCCCTCATAGTAACCTTAAACAGTACATGCCCATATACATGTATCAGAGAGCCCTTACTCCAAACCCTCCAATCAGAACAATTTCAACCAAAACACATTAATTTCAACAGAGACACTTACAAACATAATTGCCACCTGTACCAGTTCAACACCAAAGCATAAATTATTTAAGCACAATTCCACCGTCTCAGTTATAATTATCCAATAAAATTAACATAGTAGAACAGCTTCACAAGAACACACCAGTTCAACATTCAACCTACATATATTTGTATAAAATAAATTCATACAAAGATAATTAGCTCCCCTTACCTGGAAAACTTCACAGTTTACTTGACAGGATGATCTAAATAGTGCTCCTCACAGCAAAATTCAAAGACATCCTATAAATCACCCATAGAATTAGCTTTTTAGGCTAGAAATTATCACAAATTTGAAATAGAACACTTCTAGTGGCATGCATTCAGTAAAATACCAATGTCCTAAGTGCTAGAAACGGTGGAGAAAAGGAGAAAGTGACTTACCGATTGGAACAAGAACCCGTTTGGTCCGTTACGAAGCCCTTGACGCGGTGAATGTTTGAGCACCACCTATTGAACGGTTCAACAGGATGGTATTTTAGAGAGAAGGCAAAACAATATTTAGAAGATGAGTTTTTAGAGAGAGAAAGAAAAAGTTGGCCGTGTGGAAAGCTGAGGAGAAAGACTCCTGCTAAGGTCATATGACTTTGATCTGATTGGTCTGGCTGCTCCACATAAAATCCAAAGTCCCCTTTATTAATTTTATTACCGGCCCTTACATTTTGCATTGTGCAACTACACTTAATAGTCCATTGATTAGAAATTAAGATTTAAAGTGCTTTAAATATTTCTATATTCCTTGGTCTATAATGTGTTTTTAAAGATAAAGTTATGATATATTAGATTTTAAAGTAGATCATATATAAAAAAATTATATGTTTGGTAATTTTTCCTTTAACTATGTTACTTCACAGATTTGTAAAGTAAAGCACAACTATTGGATATTGAATGTTTTATTTTTAATTTTTTTTTCTTTTTCATTAGATTATTTATCCATGATTACGATGTTAAAACTTGTTTAATTTACCTAACATTTCTTTGGATTTAGCTTTTGTTTTTTCTATTCCATCGAAACTTCTATTTAATACTTGTAACTAAATTGATGGATAAACATAAAATTGGGTAATTTGATGTATAAATAAAATGAATAAATGTATGCATTTTATATAGTTAAGTAAAAGGTTTTCGGAAGTATTAAATTAAAATATGCATTACATATAACTAAAAAAATTATATCAATACGAATCAGTTATGTTGTAATAAAAATGTCAAGAGATATTTAAAATTAATAAATGCAAAGCTTTTTTTTCCTAGGTTAGCTTTTATTTTGTAATATATATATATTTTTTTTAATTTTTTCTCTCTTCTATTATCTCTTTTTATTTTTTAAGTCTAATTCGTTTTTTTCTTACAAATTTAGTCAATTAAAAGTAGGAAGTTTATCTTTTGCTTTGAAATTTTTATGTTCCTAATATTGTGTGTGTCAAAATTTAAGTTTATTATGTGTTAAAATTTAGATTATCTTTTACTTAAAAGATATTATATGTCAAAATTGGAGAGATTTCAAGATAAAAAATTATTCATATTTTGACATTTGAATGATTTAAATTTTAACATGTAATATTTTCAAATGGTGTTAACATTAATTTACATTGAACTTTCTTTTTTTAAAAACAAATATTCAATTTAGTAGAAAACAAATATAAAGACTAAAATAAATAAAAAATATAAATATAAAACTAAATTACTAATTAAATCAAATTTAAAACAATTCTCTTGTTATTTTTTAATCATATCATGAATTATATTTTATTTTTATTCTATTAAATTATTATACAAATAGCAATTCCCATGAAATAAATGATGGAATGGAAATAAACATATTTATATTTTATATATAAATAATCGTAAAGTTCATTCTGAACAGAGTATACTAATCATCCACGGTATATAATCATTTTATACTGTTGATCTTACTTTGATATAAATTTCTTTTTCTTAATATCTTTACACACTATTAGAAATACCTTTTAATTATTTTATTATTATTGTTATTATTTATTGCTAAATAATATATACTCGTAATATTTAATACTGGCAAATAAAAAAAATCTATGCATAAAAACTATGAAATATCTTATAAATATAATTTTTTATAACATATTTTATAATAAAACCAGAAAGGAGGATATTAAAGTAAATTTATCTTATGTAATCATTATAAATAATTACATGGAACGTAAAACCTTTTCAGGCAATTATTAAAATGATATAATATATTATCTGCTGTGAATGTAAGAAAAACAGTAGAAAGTGTTTAAGTTTGTTCATGCAGTGGAAATCACAGTTATAGAAGTTGAAGGATAACTCAACACAAATCTCCAAGAAAGAGGTGCTTTTAATTTGATTTGAATTTTTCTTGAGTGAAAAGATACTGTAATGGGCCGTTAGACCTTATTGGGCCCACCCATCATTGCTTCCAGGCTCCTAACATCATTTCAATTCAGGACCATTTAAGCAAAGCTAGAACAGTCCAAAAAATGATAAATGCTTATGCTTTGTGAAAGATTTATCATGACTAATCCTCATAAGAAAATTCAATTTTCTTTAGGCACAGCATTGGTTAATTACTATGAATAGATTCTTTGTTTTCATTTAGGAAACTTGAACTCCAAATTCAGATTAAAGAAAAAGCTAAGACTTGAATTAAAGTCATATGATGTCATGACTTACAACATATATGAACAGTATACAGGCAAATTCTGGTGTCAGATATCTGTGGAGGAACAAAATTCTTTACTGATTTACATCTTTGAAGTTAATAATCCAATAGAAAGAATCTTATTGAAGTTTAACAAAAAATAATAATATCACAATCAATAGTTCATGTGGAAGGAGGGGCTTAAAGATGTGATGTGACTATGCCTTGGACTGTGAGATTTTAAGGTTGCTAATTCCAACATGCACTTTTTCCTCAGCAGTTTGATTTGGAGGGGACTCCATGCACTTCAGCCATGGATGTTCCAGGCACTGTCTCGCAGTTGGTCGCTTCTCAGGGGCAAAATCAAAGAGTGGTAGAAGAAATTCTGAAAACTCTCGAGCATCATTAACTGAAAATTTATATTTATCAGTCAGCAATTTGTCTAGTGGACAGAATTTTAGCCTTCGAATCCTTTTTAGATCCCCATGCCTGTCAAAGTAATCCTTGGACTGAGCTCCACCAATAGCAATCTGCAACTCACAAGCATTAGATATGACAGAGTAGCCCTTCAATAAACTATATGAACAAAGTGTTCAAGAGTGTACTCACCTTCCGGGGCATCTTTCCAAGGAGTTCCATCATCAGGGCGAGGTGATCCTAAAATCAACAAAAATGCAGAGTTTAGTATTCTGCTAAAAAAATCTTTAGGGTAGAGTTGTGTTCAACAAGTTCAGGCAATCAATCACATGTGACCTAACATTAATGACCGTGGTGATTTTTTCCTTCCTTTTTGTTGATGAACAGATCAAAGAATAGTTCTGACTCCAATCCATGAAGCAAAAATTCAATCTTGACCCTCTTTTTTGGCAACAATATCAGCCAAGATTAAAAGCTTCAGCTTTGGAAACTACAATTTGATAGATTTCTTACTGTAGCTATTTAAAGAGTTGTTGATCACAGATCAGAAGCGTGAAACTTTCAATTTCATCCTATGATTGTAAGAACTCATTTTCAGAAATAAAAACGCAACCAGAAAAAACATTTTCAGTTCCACTCACAACAGGCCTGTAGCTTGTAAAAGGATCATAAAAAGATGAAAACATGAATACTTACAGATAATTTATTACAACAGAAGAGATATTCTAAAATAATCTTGGCACTCGAGACTGATTATACAATTACTGTCAAAACTATTTTGTCATGAGAGATGCAAAAAATGCTTTAGTAAAATAGCACAGAAATTTTGTCAAATTGACATCTGGCTTACTGGTTTAACAAGGTGATTCAATGAATTCTATTCTTTTGTATTATGTTACCTTTCACATATTCCACAATAAAAAGATAACAAGATTCAACCATTTTTTTCAAATCGTTTCTGATAGTCTTGCTACTTTCAAAAAGATCACATGCTTTACACAAAATTAAAGCACCTCCTTAAAAAATATGGAATTATGATCCAACCAGATGCACCAAAGTGTAGCATAATCAAGAGTGATTTCCAGCACCCTTTAAAGCCAATAATCAAGAGTGATTTCCAGCACCAACTCCACACCTAAACCTCCTCTCAAACTAGTTAATCGAATTATTGAATTATGAAAACATGCTTTTATCTATAATTTATGCCAAAGAAATCTAAGCTAAACAGTCTATGCAAGACCATTTATAATTAATTATAATTGCGTTAGATTTAAAAGCGTAATTAACCATTATAGTATTAATGAAATCACCATACCTCATCCTCACTAAAACCTTGTCCACCCTTTGGTGTAAACAACATATCTCCAGTGGCTAGTTCAAAAGCTATGCAAGCAAAAGACCACATGTCAACAGGGAAAGAATAGCCAGATATCAGTACAACTTCAGGTGCTCTGTACTGTCTTGTCTGTATTTCTTCTGCAAACTGCTTCTCAGCCCAACAAGCATTTCCAAAATCTACTATCTTGCATCGCACATCAATCCCATTAATGTTTCTATCGGTCTTTGCAACATCTTCTGTTCCTCCCATTGACCCTCTCCTTCCGGATATCTTAGCAACTGCCGACCTTGCTCTCCTTTTCAACCTTTTCTCAATAAGACTTGATACTCCACCATTTGTGTTTCCCTCAGGTCGCTCTAGAATTGGAGAGAGTCCAGATCTTAAAGGGTCTTTGGCAGGATCAATGGTTGAACATAGAAGAATGTTTTCAGGTTTTAGGTCAGAGTGGATTATACCAAGATCAGTATGCAAGTAGTCCAAACCAATTAAAACGCATTTGCAAATCTCTCTAACTTTATTCAATGGAAGGCCTTTGTAACGGTTATATTTGATCAAGCGAAGCAAACTATCGCCAAGAAACTCCAGGACCATGCAAAGATGCTGCCCATTTGGACCAGTGTGTTTAAAGTTGTCAATCAATTGAATCACAAATTTTGAATTTGATGGGTCATGGTCAGCAATGGATGAAAGAATATCAATCTCATGAAGGGCAGCCTGAACAAACTCGGCGGCACTTTTCTGGATCTTGAGAGCAACAAATGACTGAAAACCACAATCTAAAAATTAGATAAAATTGGAAAAGAAAATGAAAGCTGGTGCACAAAAATAACAAGAAAATACCATGTTTGGGGGTAAAGGTAAACTCTGAGAATAAATAAACAACCGTACATACATGTTTAACCTTCATATAAGGTTTCTGAATCAAAAACACACATAAATGAACAAAGGATGAAGTTGGACATGGTTCACCGTGGAACAACCCCACCTGTATCACTGAAGAGTGTCATTGTGCATATGCTGTATAACTAAAACTTATTTTCTTCTTAGGATTTGCACCATTTTCTGCTTTCTAAATTCAAGCACTAGCAAGAACCTACAACTACAAGTTATGCGATTTATGGTGGCAGAAGTGTTGGATCCATCTAGATGGCAGTTATACACATAAAAGACTCATTCCTTAGTCTTAACCTTCACCTATGCTGAATCAGAATTTAACTTCAGAACCGCAATAACTAACTACCATTCCATATACAGCTCACGTTTACCCTTATATTAAAATTGAAACACCAGTGTCACGGTTACCGAGGTGCTTAATACACAAAATCGTCACCAAATCAGAATCAAGCTGTTCAAACAGAAGGAGCAGGGGCACATTTATTGCCCCTCTATGTACAGACAAATCTATCACCCATGTAAACCAGGTGGTCACATTCTGTGAGGACCATTCACCATTTCCCGTTAAACCAACATGCATAGATTCCTTTTTATGACAAGTTGAACAAAAGGAGGAATCATGGATTCGTATTTCCAAAGTGGCAAGCAATCAACATCAAGAAGCCAAATAATCTCAGACACAAAACGACATAAAGGTGCCCAAACAAGAACCGAAGATCCCGGAACCTCCACAAAATTCAAAGGACGCAAATTTCCAACCAACAAAGCACAATGAAAATTTTCAAACCCAGTACACTCATCACAGCCCAAAATCCAAACCCAAAAAGGGTGGTCTCAAAACGACGCCTTTTTGCAGAAAACAGAGAAAAAAAACGACATGATAAAGGGGGAAAAAGATGGGTAAGAAACATACAGAAGTTTTGGTATCGTAAGCAAGCCAGACGGTGGAGAACTGACCCCAACCCAGTTTCCTCTGCGCTATGTACCTGCCGCCGCCGAACTGATCGCCGACTCTGACGGCGTGGTACCCTCCTTTCCGGTAAGAGTCGAATCCCTCATCGTCTTCCTCCGACCCCGACGACGACGAACACGACATCACCTTCTGATCTATTCAGATTCACCAAAAGAAACTCAAAATCTGATTCTTTCTTGAAAATTCTCCAGTGATTCGCTCTGCTTTCCCCTTTTGATATATCTTCTTTAACTCGGAAATTGCTTGGACGCGAAGTCTTTGTTTAGGAGGATGAAGCGTTATTATATTTGCGGTGTGTGAGGCTTTTGTTTAGGAGGATGCAATTCCTATTCCTTATTCCTCCACTTTTTTCTCTTTCTTTCTTCATGTGATGTGTGGGTCTTCCATTTTTCCTACTCCAATTTCATAGCCCATCGTCTTTATCATTCCCTCTATGCCCTTCGTTTTCCTCGGTTGGTTTACCTCTGTCATTGACTATTTTCGGGATTCCATAATTTCAACTGTCTGTTTCCAAGTGAGGTGGAGCAATCATACTCTGAAACAGCTTTGTGGGCTTCTGTCATTTCCAACATCATGCACCTTTTTTTTTTAATGTATATCTTTATGGTTTGTTTCTTTCTTTGTTTTTCTAGGGTTCCTAGGTAATGACCTGCTTAATCACTCCTACAACCAATAATTTCATGAGTTAATTTAGTAGGAAATCTTAAAAGTCTCGGTTTATTTATTCGGTTTTATTTTGCGTAGATTTGATTTGACTTATTAGTCTAATGTGCAATCAATATGTTGAACTAAAAATTCATGTATTTTCTTACTTTTTGTAATGCTACTTACTTAGAAAGTGTATCTTGAGCTTATTATTCTTCTCATTTATGAATTTATTCAAACACCTTTCAAGCATTCATTTAATACCTCTCTACTATACTTCCTCTCTAACATAAAGCATCTCTAGATATGACTGAGGAGGATCACACTGGCACATGGCATGACAGTCTCAGAAAAACAGCTACTCCATTCAAAGTGTTTCATTAACTTTTCCATTTTAATGTTGTGGTCTTTGTAGCTGAATTGATTCACTGATGCTAAGTTCTTAAACTTTATCAGTCATTCTTTTTCCCTTTTTAAGATCTCATATACCTATGAAGCTGGCAATTAATATGACAGTAAAATGTAGTGGAATAAATTGGAAGCAGATTGGTATGGTTAAAAATAAAATCATTTGTAGTTTTTTTTTTAAAATTGATGGACCTAAAAGCTGAAAATGGCATGAAAAGCTAAATGCATAAGTAACATCATGAGTGCAGAGAGAATATGTTTTGTTGTCAGTGTTAGAGAACATGTTATGTTATGCATTATAGACTTTTATTTGCAGCATTTCTCGTAAAACTACTTTATAACTTTTTTATAAGTGATAAATTAATTTATAATTGATAAGTTGACTATTGCATTATAAGTTGTTAATTTATGCTCTAATCTTAATTTATTAAACTAGAAATATCTAATGAAATTAATTTATAAATTTGTTGAAAAATGTAGAATGAGATAAGTGACATTGTAAATTTTATTATATCATTGTGTTTTTTCTAAAATTTAGAAAATAGAGAATTAAAGTTGGTAGGTGTTTTAAAATAATAAGATAAAATATTTTATTTTAAAAGAAATTCAATAATAGAAATAAATTTTTTTAAATTTGTCTCATTATTTAAAACACTGTCTATTTTTTTAAAATCTTTTTTTCTTAATCTTCTTTTACTTCTCTCTTAGATTTCTCATCCTTTGATCATTTGCTTAATGATCAAAAAGTTCTTAGGAGATCACAACTAAGTTATCTTCATTTCTAACTGATCAGGATCTGTCATAGAGCAAGTAAGTTTTTCGACTCCCTTTTCTCTTTTGTCTTTAATATGAAATTAGGAGAAATAAGTTGTCAGTTGCATGCGTGATCTTGCTTCTCCTACTTGTTCTTGGTTAATCTGGGGTCCTAAAGACTCAATTTGTTTCCAATTCAGTTTTTTGTAGTCCTTCTAGAAATTTCCTTGTGTTTCAAGTAACATGTGAGGCATTTTAGAGTTGGACGATTCTTTGTGAGGTAAAGGAAACTAGACTTTGTTTAGATTATGTTTATGGGAATTTATTGTCTATTCGAATGATTATTTTAGTAATATTTGTATTTAAATGATGATAAATGATAATATGTTGTTTGAATATTAGGAATGACGTGATTTTGATGTTTAATATTGTCATGATTGTATGTGATAAAGTTGTTTTGGTGTTTGAAACCGAATTCAAAGTGTTTGGGGTGAGTAGTAGTCAAATTCTTAAGTTTTAAGGCTAAAAATGGAGGTTTAATGATGAGTTCAAGAAAGAGTGATTGAGGTGAGAAAGCAATTGCCTAGGAGTTGTCGTGAGGTAATTTGAGACTTGTTATAAGTGTTTTGTGAGAAAAAATCTGATATGAAACTAAGAGGTGTTTCATTGTTGAAGTTTTTGAGTGTTTCAGTGAAAAAATAGGGTTTTCAGTAGTGAGATATTGAGGTAAAGGGTGTGAACTATTTTGGGAGATTCGGGAGTCTATTATTAGACCAATTAGAACTTGTCTAGTACTAAAATAAGTAAAATTTGTCATGGAAGTGATAATTGCTTCATAAGTTGAGTTTCTTAGAACATTTTGGAGGTTTTAAGTGTTGGAAAATGGAAGTAGGATTGCAGAAAGGAAACTGAGGTGTTGGGGTGTGCTATCAAGTGTATTTAGATTTGGTTATGCAGTTGGTGGACTGATATGAGGATTAGAAAGTGTAGAATTGAGTTTGGGTAGCTTAGAGGAGTGATTTTGGTTTCAAAGGGATCAATTTGAGTTACATTGGTGTTTTATGAAGTTTCTCAGGGTTTGGAAGGTCCTAGGGGTCTTTAGGAGTTCAGAGTAAAGTGTTCAAAGTCAGAAAATTTGTGTTTGTGCATCTATCATGGCGTTGAGCACTGGGGTCCTGGCGCCTGGGCGCTATCTGTCTGGTTTCAGGCGCTGAGCATCATCTTCCCAGCGCCTAGGCACTATCTTTCTGTTTTTAGGTGCTGAGCACCAGTTTTGGGGCACCTGAGCGTCACCCTGTATGCTTCTATAATGATGTTTTAAGTGATTTTTGATAATTTGTTGGATTGTTTATGGTTCTTGGAAGTATAATCAATGATGTTATATGTTAAGATATTGCAAATTCGAAAGTAAATGGATATGTATATGGTTTCAAATGATTCCCAAGTTTGGAAAGTTGGTTCCAAGGTGGAACTTCTTGGTGTGGTTCAAGCGTTGTTAGAATGAATGCAGGTAGCCTAGTCTTAGGAGTTTTTCTAACACTTTAATGGTAATACATTTTTAAATACATGTGGTGAAAGTAGCAGGAGGTTTTAGTCAAGTGCTTCCAATATGACCTACGACACAACACAGTGTGGTAGGGTGAAACTCATTTGGCAAGGGCTTTGCAAAGCATCAGAGATCACAACAAGTGCATAATCCGCCATAACTCAACATTTATTCTAAGTCCGGACAGTCTAGTCTAGGTCATTGTATGTTAATATGTTTAACTTGAATTATATTAAAATTGATCCTTGTATGAAATGTGTTTAGTTTATATCAATTGTCTTTGAATCTAGCTTACCCTTTTCTTTGTGATTGTGTGTATGTTACTTGATTCTTTCTTGGCTATGATCGTCCGATGGGTGTGAGTAAAGGGTGATGAGTTTACTCTTAAGCAGACGTTAAATGGAGCGACTGCGGATGTTTGGTTTTTATAGTTAGCTATTGTGTTTATATTTAGTTAACCCGTTTGTATATAAAATTTCATTTTATGGTTGTTTTTTGATGACTTAAAATCCTACTTTATATTTTTGTCTACAACTGATCTATCATATTAAATTTGTGATGACTATTATATAGTTAAACTAGGGATGACAATGTGTCGGGTCGAGCACGGATAATACCTATCTGCAACCCGACCCGACAAAAAAAGTCCACCCGCTATCCGCATAGATATCCGCTTAAAAAATATCTGCGGATATTTTAAAACCCGCGGAGACCCGTGGATGCCCGCGAATACCTACAAATATTTGAAAATATATATTTTTATAGAATATTTTTATAAAATTTAAATAAAATTACAAAAATTATATAAAATATAATATAAATTAAATTAAATATAAATTAAAATTTAATTTTAATTTAATTTTAATTAAATTTAACCTTATAAAATATAAATTAATGTTAATTTTAATTAAATTTAACTTAATAAAATATAAATTAAACTTTATTTTTATTTTTTGCGAGTAGTGGATATCTGCAGGTACGGATAGTATAATACCCGCACTCGACCCGTTTATAAACGTGTATTAAAATATCTGCTACCCACAACCCGCAAGTAGTAAATATCTGTGAATATTAACTATCCCTCGCGGGTTTTATCCAGGGATATCCACGGGTGCGAATTTTTTTGCCATTTTTGGGACGTTACATCTTTAGAACAAATAAATTATTACATAATTATATTTTTATATTTTTTATTAACCTTTTTATTTAGGTAAGTAGTTTTATTTAAATTATTATTTTTAATTTAAATGCTGCTTTTTTTTAATTTAAATTATTACAAATTGTATTGTGTGTAAAATGTTATATCTGTTACGTGCTAACATTAAAAAAATTAAACTAATGACAAACTACAAGTTAATTAAAATAGTTTGTAATTTAAAAACTAATAAAATCTTAAAATAAGCTTAGTTGAAAGTTCTTACAAAAACTTGTATATTGATAGCCTAAACTATAAATGAAATAAGCTATTAACAATTTGTCTCATCAAATATATCTTATAAAAAGATAATTATGTAATATGATTTTTTTTAAGTTAAAATGTTTTCTTTTAGTTAATACTTCCTTTGTTTTAGTTAAAACTTACACGATAACATTTTTGATCGGATAAACTTTATTTATTGAAATATAAATCAATATATATGATTTATGTTCTAAACCCCTTAAAATATAAGTAAATATCACTTCCTTTGAAATTCCCCGATTTGATTAATATGGATTCTTTCAATATGCTTTTAGTAAAAGTTGTATTGCGATAAATTTAAAAATTCATTCGTTAATCTTAGACAGTTATACCAGTTTTTAAAATTGTTTCATTTATATATATATAAACTTATTATTTTAAATTTTATAAAACATAACATAAATTATTACTCATTAACGATCAATTATGTATAGATTAATTATTACATTTTACAAGTTGATATATAATTTTATTGAATACTACTAGTTTATTAAAAGTATGAAAAAATATTAATATTTATGCAAAAGTAGAAATATTGTCGTGTTATTTTATTAAACATATAAAACAAACTTGTGTCAATATTAAACTTTAAAAACGAGTCTTTCATACGTGCAATTTTTTCCTGTGTTAAATGGACGAACTACCTTAATGTTGTCGGATTTAGGATCTAAGATTTTTTTTTTCTTTAATTTTCAATGGGTCACAGTTTCCATAAAGTTTCGATTCAATCTTCATTTAGAAAAAAAGATCACGGGTTGCTGTCTTTCTTAATTGCCCTCATTACACGTTGATCCACATTTCTTTTGCAATGATTTAGAACCATAAATTCGGTACTATAAAAATTTAATACTATGAAACAATTAATTGTGCTAAATCTAACTCAAAAACAGTGACATTTTTTGCTCAAATTCAGGTTTTACAAGTAAGAGACAATCGACATGGCCGCCATTCTAGACCCATATGCTTGCATTGCTTCATTGAATTGGATGACATCAAGAAACAAATGCCCACTTTCATTAATTTTTTCTTTTTGATTAAATATGCTTTTAATTTAAATCTAAGATTGAAATTTATTAATTATAATTTGTCTTCAATTAAATATAATTTTTCTAATTTAATAGAACGAAATTTTTATTGATATTTGGAATAATATTGAGTTAAGTATGTTTTTTTGATTGTTTAATTTTAAGTAAAAATTGAAACTAATTTTTTTTTAAATTTTAAACTAATTTAGTTATAATGATATAAATTTAATTTTTTAACTAAATTTTATTAAATTTATTTAAAATTTTAAACATATTTCTCAATTTAATATTGAAAAAAAAGTGTTAAATAAGATAAAAAATTTAAATATTATTAAAAAATGTTTCTAAAACATAAAATTTAGTTAAAAAACTAAATTCATATATTTATATTTTTAAAATTAAGAAATTAAATTAAATCAAAATTTTGAAAAAAAAATAATTCCAGTTTTATTAAAAGTTAAAGAAAAAAGTATTTAATTTACAATATTTTAAGTCAACCTTTTGAACAATTTATAATGCTAAACACAAATATTAGTTCACTTAGTTTAAGAAAAATATATGCGAACAAAAATATATTAAAGTTTGAGATATATAAGAATCTTAATTTCTTGTAAAAAAAACTAAAAATATATTTAAACTTCTTTTTTTTCAAACATAAGCTAAAAAAGAGAATTGCTTTCAAAACATCTCATCGGTGGATGAAAGGTTGTGTTTGTGGTTAAAAGCTTGGAAGTTTTCTCTCTGATATCCATAGCCACAGAAGTTGGAAGGAAGAAGAGATTTTAAATCTTTCATTAACTAATGTAATATTTCTGAAACAAAAACCTTTCACATCCATATGCTACAACTTTCACAAAAAATGAACCAGCAACAAAGAATTGGCACGGCTTTACTCTAGCTGGTGATCAACAAATCACTCAGCAAACTCAACACTTTATTCAGGAGCATCATTTCCAACAAGAATTCCTTCAGCATCTTTCGACAACAATCACTGTCACGGAATCAAACATCAAGCATATACTTAAAACATGTATAAGCTTAGTTTCTCCAATATATTCAAATATTCAAATAATCAAAGACATCTTTGGATTAGCATTACTCTCTATTCATTAATAGATTCGGAAGAAAAAAGATACAGAAGGGTATCTTTATCTTCCTCCAAGAGTTATCCAGACAAGTTCTAACAAGTTTTGAACCGAATGATTAAGATGTGGGTGAAAGAATCTCCATCACAGAAGTGTAAGTCCCAGTAACTGCAATCACAAACCCAAAAACCACAATTGCTCCATCCCAAACAAAACAACTCCAACCCAACTCCTGCTTAAAAACAATAAGATGAAACATTGCAGGCAACACAAAACTCAATACCACACACACACTGCTTCCGACCAGGGACAGAAAATCTGCAAAATTAGGCACCAAAAGCGCCACCAAACTAATCACCAACACCATGAGCCATCTCAACCACAAGCTGTACCTAGACCCACAGAATCTTCTTTCCATCACCTCATTCACAGGATTCATCATAATCGGAAAAGTGAAAAACAAATTGATACAAAGGCCTAACTGAACCAAAAAACTAATCACCCCAGGACCCAAATTGGTTGTGATTATACCCTTAGTTTCTTCCCCAAATGCAAAGTAACCTAAACCCCCAAACAAACCAAACAACACTGAAATCGATCCCATCCCCAAACCCAAAATCCTACCGAACTTCTCCTTATCCTTCGCTTCACTTTCCAACGGTAGAACCATCCCGATTCCCTCAAAAGCATACACAGCCACACCTATACCGTACAAAAACACAGACAAACCCCCGAAAACTTTCAAATCTGGCCTATTCTTAATGGAAACAAAAACATCCTCGACCATGACAACACTCTTCGCAACAAGATCAACCACGTCGGCGAAGATACTCAGCGGAGCCAAATGAGTCAAAGTGCGAACCGAAATCAGTCCTAACTGGAAGGGGAAGCAGGCCCAGAGGAACAGAACCTTGGGGGTGAAACCTAGGAAAACCGGTGTCGTTTCGTTGTTGGTGAGGAACGCGAGGGTGGAGGAAATGAAGATGAGGTAGCTGACGCAAAAGCCGGATTGGGAGAGGACGATCATGGCGTCGACGGCGAAGCGGCCCACTGGGCCGCAGATCGTAAAACCCAGGTCGCCAAAGGAGGCGATTTTGGTGAAGCCCGTTAAAGATTCTAGTTTGCGGCGCGTGTGGACGAGGAGCATCATGCAGTGGTAGGTGAGGAAAGCGACGGAGAAGAGCATGAGCAGACCCATGAGCCAGCCCGTTTGCTTGAAGCTGTAAGGGAGGCCCATCACGTCGGCGCCGACGATGGAGATGAAGATGTTAGCGAAGGTCTTGGGATTGGAGGACAAAGGCGGAGCCTTCCCGAGGAGAGGGGTGTCTTCTCTGGGTTATGGTGGAAGGGAGTAGGAAGACGATCCAGCTTCCTTGGAGAACACCATTGCTTCTTTCTGTTACTCCACACTTCTCAATTCTCAACTCTGTTCTATCACAACAAATTAACGTCAATCGCTGCTGTTTCCTTGTCAGAATTTTGGTATATTGCTGCAGAGGGACTTGAATCTGATGCTCAAGTTATGATATCTTCTTGTTTCAGTTTCAATGTCTATCCGCCATTATATACATGATAACAAGTAGGGTTGTTGAATAAAGTTTTGTGGCGGCTATGCTTTTCTATGACTGGAATGATGTTAGGCTTCTCTCTACCTTTTATTTTATTTATTTTTTTAATTCATTTTTTGCGGATTTTATGTAATCTTCTAGTCATTCTTCAAAAGATGGGTATTTTTTTCTTTATTTTTCTCAATTTTTAATAAATAAAGGAAATTCAATCTCAACAGTAGAAGAGTCCAGGTTAGTGGTTCTTATCCTATTATTTTATGTTTAATATATGATGATGATAACGTGCATGCTGCATGAGCTCTTAAAATAGTATAAGCGTCTGTTTCCTTTTAAATAATTATTTGACCTCATTTTCTTCAGAGTCAAGGCAGATCTAACTCTTTTAAACTGTAAAAGGTAAAAAAAAAAAAAGCTAAATTAATATACACGTTTTTTTAATAGCAAATTAATACACATGTGTAACTTCTATTCTAATATTAAAAAGACTATTGAATTTAAGGAGAGCTTTAGATTCTTATAGTCAACCTTCTCATTGTATTTGAATATATTCATTACTTGGATCTTATTATAAGAAAATGAGATCTTCCACTCCCATGAAATCGTATGTTCTATTTAAAAATGAACTATGCTCTATTTTAATTTAAATGAAACATGTTCTAATTTTTTACTCAATATTTAAAAAAGAATGAAGTTTTCATCTCATCTCACTGATAGGTCAACCAAAATGTTTGAAAAGATCAATAATAAATTTTTCAGCATTTGATTAGATACTTAATTAAAAGAAAAGCTTAATATATTTTATGTATTTTATTTTTTTTTCTTTGTAGTTATAATTTCAATAGCTTTTTATGAGAGGTTGCCATATTTGCAAATTATATCAAATTAAGATTATTTAGAGTAGTATAGTAAGAGTATTGTAGAAATAGAAATAACACATAAGAGGAGGTACTCTTATGCTAGTTATTAATGTTATAAATAAACAAATATAACAATCTATATTTTTGTTATATCTATTTCTCCATTATACATATATTATATGGAATCTTTCTTAGTTAATATATATAATTTTTTTATATTCTTTTTAATACCTTACATAGTACGAAAAAACTTTTTAATTTTTAATCTTTTATCTCTCGCTATACATTTTATAAAATATTTTTAAACCTTTCTTTTTTCTTCTTCTTCACACATTCAATATACCTATTTCTCTCAAATTGGATGATGACAACATTTTGATTTGGCAACAAGTGCTTGCTACCTTAAAAATTTCAAAGTCATGAAATTTTTGGAAAATCGTGATATACTATCATAATTTTCAAATTTTGAAATCTTTTAAACAATAAAATCAATCAAGAGTTTCTCAACTACAAGCGTGAAGACTCAATGCAACTCCTCAACCCCTGGTTGAATAAATCATTGCATTAAGATCAAAATTTTAGACTTAGTTAAAATAGTTAGATATATTCCTAGTATATAATAATAACAAGTAAGATGAGTGATGAGTTCATCCAAACAAATAAATAAAATCAAATTATTAATATTGAGTAAAACATTTTGAATATATATAGAAATCATTATCATATAGAAAATCGAAGAAGCTACATCTAATCCCAACACAACACAGTTCAGTTATTTATGATGAATTTGAGTGTAAGAACTAACAGTTGATATCCCTCTTCCTATCTCTCGGAAAGATTTTACAATAAATGTATAAAAATGTGTTCTAAAAGAATTCTAGAAAGAAGCTAAATCTAATTACAATAAATATAACATGACTATGTTTTTATAGACTTTTAAAGTTTGGCTTCAGCTCCCTCATGGTGATCAACATTTGGGTTTCCTTTTATTGTGGTTTTCTTCTGGCTCAAACTCATTCTTTGAAACATTCACTAGTACAAAAATCATGTACTGTGACACCCGGGCACGGAGACGAGGGCGGAGAGTGACGCCGGTGCAAGAAGCATGGTGCAGGGGGCACAGACAAGGAGCGGCTCCTGGCAGCTTCGGGTGGAAGGGGTACATGGACGAATCGAACATACACCGAAATGAGAGGGATTTGGAGACTGTATAGGTATGGGACTATACGGTTGAAGGATAGCTTAAAGGAATTGATTTGACTACTCATATCACCAAAATGCATTTGCTTTTCGGTAGCCTGACTCATAAGAACTCCATGGTTAAGCGTGCTTAGCCTGGAGCAAGTTAATCAATTTTTTTTAAAAAATCAACAAATTTCAGTTTTTGGTATTTTATAAAGCATGAACTATATACGTGTGTAGTGTAGTATCAACAACAAACAATAATAACCAATAACAAACAAGTTCAATCAAACAACAAAAACAAACAAGTTCAACTAAACAACAACAAACAAGTTCAACAAATAAGTTCTTCAAAACGAAAACGAAAATTAACCTTCAAAAGGTGAGTTCGTTAGAATAAAGTTTTGTCATAGAGAAAAAACAGAATGCGCCTATGAAAGACAAGAGCACGAAAATAATCGGTTAAAACAAAAAAAAATTATATATAGAGTAATTAATTTGTTGGGTCTATCGAAGAGGAGGTTCCCTATGGGTTACACAAATATCAATAACATCTGAGCCAACTATATAAGAGATCAACACCACTCCTTAACATAAAAAAAGTAAATAATTAACATGCATTTGTATCGAATGAAAAGTTTGAGAAGAGAAGAGGGTATTGCGCGCTAAGATAAAGTGAATGAATTTTCAATTTCCCGCTCAAATTTTTATTTAATTCACTAACCTTTTGACGTCGAATTTAAAAGTCATTTGACTTTTTATATCTTTTTACGTCGAATTACAATTCTAAACGACGTTTAATAATTGCATTTATTTACAAAAATGTCACTGCTCATTTTTAACTTTGGTTATTCAGTGATTGAACGTTGAACGCATGACGTTATAAGCTGTTTTTGTATTAGTGACCAGAGGTTTCTTTGATGGAAGAATTTCGTTTATGGTTTAATTCATAATTCTTGTGTTCAAGGTTTCCTTGTTGTGAAAGTTTTCTCATGTGACTTTAGCGCCAACATCACTCTTGAATTGTGTGTTAGGTACAAACAAAGTCCTGCATCGGATAAAATAAGAGATGAACATGAGTTTAGTAAGAGACATTTTAGAGTGGTACAAAAAGTAAATCTGTGAGTACTTGATCCAAAACGGACAATATTTTACGAAACTACCATTTCTTCAATTTTTTCAAAAAATTATATTAGTTTTTAATTTATCTGATTCTCAATATCTCATTTTGTAATTTCTATGTAAAAGAAGATTGGCTCAAATTAAATAATTTACGTACAATTTTAAGTGTCTAAAACGTGTATAAAATTAAATAAATTAGACACTTATAAGTTATCAATGAATATGACAGCTTCATAACTTCTTTGTAAGCTCTTATATGGTGGAAGAAATTGAGTTCTTGCTACTGTCTCAAGAAGAATGCTTGGAAATGTGCATGTTCAGAAAATACCGACAGACCTCTGTTGTATCCTTCCACTGTTAATGATCCTTGTGGTAGCCTGGTAGTGATGCTTCTCACCTCATATAGTTACAATTTCGCATCAAAGGCAACTTATACAAGTGATGAAACAGTGAAATAGTGGTATGCCTATCTTACATATTGGTTCAACTTTTCTTTCTTTTCCTTCCAATAAAATCCGATTACTCTAATCCAATCTTTTATATGTTACTAATATTTTCAAGAAACCGATTATTAAAGACATTTGTTATTCTTCTTATCCTTTTTATTAACATTTTCAATTTAGAAATACCGTTGTCTGGTATGTACTTGCTAGCTATATAATATGAATATAGTACAGTGAACTCAGAGATATTTATAAGGGAACTTACTTTCATCGTTACTATTCTATTTATTCACTAAAAGCCAAGGCTTTTTTTGTTGGTCCCCATTAGAGAAAGGACACAACTTTGTTTCTCTTTCGTTCATTTTTTTGCAGCCGTGTAAATTTTGTACAAAAAAGTCATGTCAAGTGTGATAGGGAGTGTAAATAATTCATTTGATGTAAATCTTAAAGATGAAGATCAAATAAAAAACTCAAATATCCCTGGTCTGTGATAGTGACAAGCTAACTAATAGCCTACCCATTGCCAACTAAGGTCATGTGTCGGTGTACTCATTCATAATTTTGTCGTTTAACCAGAAGAAAACGTGAAGTTTTTTGCTAACAATGCACGTACACAAATACAGAATTTCATTAGAACACGGATAACAAGAGAAATTTAGTCTACACTCCACAACTAGAAATGGAGAGCTTTGTGTAAGACAATTCAAGAAGGTATGTACACCCATATTCATTGAGATAAGGTTTGTAGCAATTAACTCGGAGTAAACGACCAAAACACTTGGTGTTAGATTTAAAAACCATTGGTGGAAGTCAACCGATTTCCACCAAATAAACAATTCCTGAATACTTATGTGTGGAGTATTAAGAGTACGAAGGTAAGAAATTGATTGTGGGACAGAGTTTGCAATATCCACCTGAGTACTAGAGTATGTCATCTATGTTGAATATATTCTTATTGACACTTCTTTCTTGATTCGGACAGTGTAGTAGTGAATTCCAAATAAAAGGGTCAGGAAGGATGCCCTTGTCTACCATTTCTCTAAAGACTTGCATGGCTTTTTGAAGGTCCCCTTTCCTACATAAGACATCAATCAGAGGACTGTATATTTCTGTATTGGGTGCACAACCTCTTGCGGTGATGTCTTCCACCAACTTCAAGGCATTCTCAACTTTTCCCTGTCTGCAAAACTCTGTGATGACAGCATTAAATGTAGATGGCATAGGAAAACAGTTGTTAGCAATCATTTCATTCATCAGCTCAACTGCCTCTCGGACACTACCTTGTTTGGAAAATCCATGAACAAGGCAGTTATAAACTAAAATACTTGGAATTCCACCTTCATCAGTCATCTGATCATATACCCTCTTTGCATCCTCAATAGACCCCTTCTTGCAGTGCTCTAAAATCTTCATGCTTCTGTCAACAGCTCTAGGGAACAAGTTCCCCATCTTTGTTAGAAACCCAGCTGCCTCATCAAATCGATTTTGCTTAAACAGGCCATATATTATGCTATTGTAAGGACTGATGTGCCCTTTAGAGCCTTCTTTGCTTTCCTCCATTAGCTCCAAAATAGAAAAACCTTCTTCAATTCTTCCTTCTGAGCACAGACCCCTTATTACTGAGTCAAATGTAACAAAGTTCCATTTGATCCCATCTATTTTCATATCATTAAAAAGATCAAGAGCCAAATCCAACATCCCAGACTCACAAAAGCTAGATATCAGTGCATTATAGGTATCCACATTTGGAAGACAGCCTTTGCTCTCCATCTGCTTCAAAAAATGAAGCCCAACCTTCACCTTCCCCACTCCACAAAACCCCTTGATCAAGGTGTTGTAAGCCACAACATCTAGCGAACCTCCCATGCCCTCAACTCTCTCTAAAACGTCAGCGGCCTCTGTGGCGCGGCCAGCATTGCATAGAATTTCCAGCACCTTAGTAACAGTGACAACATCAGGCACAAATCCCAGGCTAAAACTATTCTCCAGCAGGACAAGAGACTGAACTGAATTCCCTTCCTTACAGTACCCAGATATCAAAATATTAAAGGTAACATCATTAGGCTCCTCCATCTCACTCATCAAGCTCCTAGCCCTCCCAACCTTCCCATTCCTACAAAGTGCATGCAGCAAAGTGTTGTAAACCACAGTGTTTGGAGTAACCCCTCTAGACTTAATAAGCTGCAAGAGCTTAAAACCTTCACCTATCCTATTAGTTAGGCACAGCCCTTTCATTAAAATCCCAAAAGTGTAATCATCCCCCTCAACTCCACTCGCCATCATGCTCTTCCTATAAAACTCCCTAGCCATGTCAATATCCTCCTTCACAAGCACATCCAAAATTGAATTGAAAATCTTGAGGGAGGGGCTGCCGTGGAACTTGTACGCCAAGTCAAGCACTTTGATTACCGTTCTAATCATCCGCGCTCGGCCCAGGCCGCGGATGATGGTGACAAAAATAGCATCATTGGGTGGCGCACCGAGTGATTGGGGCATTTCGTCGAGCAGTTGCTTGACAGTGTCGAAACGGCGGAAGGTGCAGAGCTTGTGAATCACGGCGCGGTACGTGGATTGAGAATGTGCGAAGTTGGGGACGGTGGACGCCCACCTGAAGCATTCCAGTGCTTGGGTAGCAGATTTCTGGTCCAGTATCAGCTGTGAAACATGCTCCTCGCTTGGTACAGAAGAAGAGTATGAAGATGTAGATGAACTCGTTTGGAATTGAAAACGTCTTTGATAAGGGGTTGAGGAGGATCCACGATATGCCAATGCTTTCCAAAGTTTATGCATTTCATCAACCGAGGTTAAGTACAAATACTATTATGAGTAAAAAATCTTGCTCCAAGCAATGATCTTTCCCGCTGAACAAATCGCCCTTCTCAATGCAAAAGTGCTCCCGTTGAAGAAAAAAAGGAGTCTTTTTTGTCTATCCTTCTTGAGAATCTTTACATGTATAATAGCTGACACCACATTTTTCACACAAAATCTTATATGTTTTTGGTTTTTTCCTTTATTTTTTTTATATTACTTAACTTTTTCATTTATTGCGCCTTTTAACTTATACTTAGATTCTTGACAAATCACTCTTAAGTTTTTAAGAAAGTGTTTCCTTTCATTCCAAAACAAAAGTGTGTGTTGATATTATCGGAACTTAGGAAGAAGAAATAGCCAAATAGGAATAGCATGAAAAATTCTTTGGCGCTGGAGCATTAGCTTCTATGAAAATGTGATTGCACAACAAGGATTCCAGGGAATTAGTAGTGATGGAGAAAATATCACTGACAAGATTGTAGCAATGATGGTGCACATGAACACCCTTGTTTAACACTATCAATCCTTCTAAGTATTCTGTCCATTTGTCTTTTGAACAGAATCATTTTCAACTTGAAAAGTGATTGTCAGTTTTTCCTTTAATTTGCATGTGTAAAGGCAAAGACAGGTCAACAATAAGAAAACACAGTGAATGTTCCTAACAAATTTACAATGACTTGAAAATGTTGTAAAAGATAAACTAAGGGCGGAAAATACAAATCATTATTATTGACATTTAAGCAAACAACAATGTTCAAGTGCAGCAGGGGTAGCAGTTACTCAGAAAAATCCCCACTGAAGAACACCCTACTCAATAATCTGTACAAATCAGCAACTTCATTTATTCATCTACCATTCAAAACACCCTTGAGAAGATCAAGGCCCTCAGCAGAAATACTCCTCCTCCTACATGATCTAGGAATTTCAATTTTAGGAGGTGGATCTTTGGAGAAACTCACAATCACAACTGTGAGGTTGTCACAAGTGTTGCGTTGGAGGGCCTCAGTAACAAGTACTTTTGCACATTTGTTGGGATCATTATGCTGCATCATCTCCCTCCTCACCATTGTCACAGCGCACTGGCTGCTCATCACATCCCACAATCCATCACAGCCCATTATCAAAAACTCATCTTCTTCGGTCAGCACGATCTCCTCCAGCTCCGGCTCCGAGCTTAGAGGACTCTTAGAACCTTTGCTTCCTTTTATGTGCCAATCTCCAAGAGCCCGAGCCACTGATAGTTGGCCGTTGAGGTATCCATCGTAGATCACTCCACCAAGTTTTTCAATTCTTAATCTTTCAGAAGTGCAATTTGGTTTATGGTCTTTGGAAAGTTCAACTGCTCTGCCCCGTTTGCCCAACACAGCACGAGAATCTCCTGCATTGGCAATCAGCATGGAACTGCAAAATAGATTACTAGTAGAATTAGCATGTAATAGCAGCATGCATTCAAATTCATATATGCAACTACCAACAGTGTCTAAAAATCATTGTTCTAATCATATGGTTGTCAGTCCCTACCTTCCCAACATAAGGGCTATCAGAGCGGTGGTGCCTGAAGAGCTATCAAGAGAACTGGCATCTCTAAAAGCAAGATCAGCCTTCACAAATGCACTCTTAATTGCTTTCTTAATGCTAGATGGGAAATGAGCATCTTCAACTATAAACTTGAGGATGTTCTTTCTCGTGAATGCTGCTGCATCAACGCCACCATGTCCATCAAATACCTGTATATCATCAATCCCCATGAATGCCTAATCTAAGGGACATGCAAAAGGCAACCAGATTGGAATACCAATCAAAACATGGTAATCAAAGAAATAATCTCTATGATGTATTAATATTTGTAAATCTTTTAGGTCACTGTGGTTAATCAGTGATGGGGAATTCATTCATATCTTATAGATTGTTCCGCTTATGAAGAGAATTTGCCCACTTCATTAGGAGAATAATAGGATCGATCTAACTCAACACAAGAAACATACCCCATAAAATGCTGCAGGAGAAGGAAGGTTTGCTCCTAGACCGTCACATTCACTAAGAGTATCAATGCATATGAATTCATCCTCCATGTACTGCTTTGGTCCTTTATCGGAATAGCTTCCAGATCGAATTTCAAGTGGAAAGTCTGATTTTTTTTCTGTGCTTGATTTAAGTCCAATAATATTAATATTTGATTCCTGGACAGAAGAAGATAGGGCATAATTACTAGCCAGGACCACGTCAAAATATATGTATAGCAGCAGCTTGAACATATAAACAATCCATTTTCTTTCCATGGAATTCTCTTTCTATGCTTTCACTATACTTGAAACAAACTGATCAAAACAAGGACATGAATCAACAAATTGCTCAAAAGTTTAATAGTAAAATGCCATTTTAAATTTCAAGAAAAAACATCCTAAGGATTGCAGGTTTTATAAATCACCAGAAACTTTATCGACCCTTTTGCAATTAGCTGCAGATTCAATCGGATCCACATGCACCTCTGAAAAAAATGTTTGAGAAATAGGAAAAACATATCTGGGATACGGAAGTTATAACTATTAGCTTCTCAATAAACGCATAAAACTACATCTCAAAGGTGGAACCAAACACGCCAAAAGCCTCTTTTGTAATAATACAACTACTCTACCAACAAGTCCTAGTATAATATCAAAACAATATATGAGAGGAACCAATATGTTCCAAGTTTTCCTAAATCCTGGTTTTCTTTCAACCAAATTGTGTGAAGCCATCAAAATGCTACAGAGGTGTTGAATCTTGATGATATCCAACCAACAAGAACAGAAACATGAAATTTCAATTTGATTACACTAACCGGCTCTGCAGACCAAGAAGAGCTGCTGAAATGTCGCATAACAGAATGGTCTCTCGGAGGCTTCGCTGCATTCTGATTCAAATTCCCCACCGTATCCCCATTCAGATCCTCCATGGCACCATCACTAATACCCCTGGGGCAGGGGCATCCACCACCAACACCACTCATTGTATCTTCCTCACACGTGCAACATGTCCTTGTCCCATATCACGATCCACCAATCAATCACAACCACAACCAAACAAAAAGCTTAAAAATTTGATTTTTCATTTATTTATGTTATTTATCCCTTATACCAGAAGCTTCTGCAAAACCATTCAAACAAACGCCACACACGAGAAAGAAGCCATTTTTAAACGACCCCAGAAGATCAGACAGGCAGAGACAGCTATTGGAAACGTGGCAGACACTTGATCGAAGCAAAAAAGAAAAACTCAAGTGAAGGGGTAGCGTGCAGAGAAAGGAAGAAATGGTTGTGGCAAAGAGAGAAGATTAAGAGTAGAAAAACGAAGACCAATATAGTTATAAATGGATATGAGAGAGAAGGGGAAACCGTTGAGATGAGTATATATAAAGTGATTGGCAAATGCAAGTTTTGCGGTCGCCATTGTAGCGCTTGAAAGGAAGTGACATGTGGCTTCTTCTGCTGCCATTTGTGTTACCAGTTGACCGGATACATGGCCTTGTGCAACTCCAACCTCTTGCAATCTATCATCAATTTTCTATTATCATTTCATATCATATCAATCTCCATCCTTCTATGCATTTTTCTTTAACAATTTTCTATCAAAATTCACCTAACAAACTTTTTAACAACGTTAGCACATTGTCTTACCTTAATAACCTGGCCTTTTTCCTCCTCTAATTAAATAAGATATTTCAACATCATTTACTTTATTCATATTTTTTTAATATTTTGTTTTATTTTTTAACTATTATAAATTATAATTATAATTATATTTGTAATTAATGACTTTATTAGTTTATCATCAATATTAATTTACTTAAATTTTTAAGAATCAAAGATGGTTTTTATCACTATTTGAAAAAAAAAGATCAACTTTAAACTTTATACAAGGATTCACAGCTTAAGCTTTAATTATACACGAACAAACAATTTTTATTTTTCTAACATTATTTGTCATAGATTGTTTTCTCTCTCTCATGGTTGTTTGTTCTTGAAAGGTTTATCAATGAATTATAGAGGGTTAAATGAAAATTTCCAACTTTGAGCACACGATCGAGCATGGCCCACACACCAAAGAAAATGATATTTTCTTTAAAACATTTATGGAAACCCATACTTTCTAGGCTCTTCATCAGCTAACCCTAACTTGAGTTTCAGGACTAGTTCGACAACCACAGAAAACAAGTACCCAAATAATTAGAAGTAATTAATGTTAAGCATGATCATTAAGATATACTTAGACCATGATTAATTCATAAACAATGTCGAGTCTAACAACCATGTAAATACAAATAATGGTATTGATAATATGTTGAATGTCCAACCATTTCTGTAAATACAAGTAATGGTATTGATAATGTTAGTTTTCAAATATCTGGTTAATTATGTGTCAAAAATCTTTTTAAATAAACATTACGTTAAGTGTTAGAGTATTATCTGTGTTAGATATCAAGAACCTTATTTACCAAAAAAAATATAAAAAATAATAGAAAATTAGAGAGAAAATGTGATCAATTTAGAGTAACTCATAGAAATTTGTTTTTCTAAACCATGACCATTGTCACGACACAATTTCTCTTTTTTTTCTTTTTAATATTATAAAAAAATCATTTTTAATGATAGTTAACTTATTTTAAAAAGATAATTAGTATGGGGAAATTACATCTCATTAGGGGAATAATTCCTTATAACTCAATTAATAGAATTTGTTTATAAGAAGTTATGGTTATATATCGATTTTATAACTAAACTGTTACTTGTGACACATGAAATTAACATTTAAATATATTTTTATTGTATCTTTAATTTGTTTTGAAAAACATACAAATATAAATATTGATATAAATTTGGAGACTTATATATTTATTAAATGATTTTTAAGGTGGCCTCATGATCTAATCCTATTTTTATTGAAGATCCATCCTTGTAAAAATGACTATTACGATATGTATCAGAAACTCAAACAACACTACGGGTTATCATGTCAAACTAAATAGTATATTTATTGCTTTAATATAAGTTTAAGTTAATTATTTATGTTATTTTCTAAATAAAAAATCCTTTTAAATATTTTAGGGGTGAAATAGTTCTGAAGTTAATGCATGCATAGAGTGAACATGTGCGCATATTCAGAGTGTTTATCAAGTTGCCAATTTTTTTACAAAGTTTCTGCTGGATTTAGTTAGTTCCACGATTTCCCATTTTTCTATTCTTTGATTGACTTTTGCATCATTCGAGGATGTTTATAACTCTTTTATTTATTATTAAAAACAATGATTAATACTAATAAATATTTGAACATGTTGATATGAACATACAATATTATATTTTTAGGATAAAGATACTTTTACAACATTTTTTTTACAACATTTTAACATCATCTACGTGTTATTATGTGATTGGTCCAAATGAATACTAATAATCATAAACACTAACATGGACCAATCACAATGACACATAAACAATGTTAAAATGTTGTTAAAATATCATTATCCATATTTTTATTGAAAAGGTGTACGATTTAACATCGACCAAGAATAAATCAATTTATAACAAATAACTAAAGACAAATTTAAATTTACGATATCATATACTATTGGATCTAGTTTGATTTTCAAGCTCGATTAAAAAGGTGTATTGAAGAATCATTAGATTAATTATGAAAAAAAAATTAAACAAGAAAAAATATAAGTATCAAAAACAGCATAAAAGAGAATAAACTACATCTAATCACTTTTGTTTTATTCTCTTTTTTCTTTTCACTTCATTTTGTTGGTTGAGAACGACACGACATTCTGCTATGAATGAAACACTCTCTCCGTCCTCTCCACCCAGTCAACGCAATATTCCAGAAATATCTTTTCCTAACCACTTTTTTCTTATACTTATTTAGTAATATAATATCATATTCATTGTGATAATAATATATATTTTGTATAGTTTTAAAATCCATTGGTCCCGAACCATTCTTACATCACTTTAATGGTACATTATATAATTATTACACTACACGCCCCACTCACCAATAACTTAACAATTTGAGCCAAAGATGCTGCCATGCCATGTGTTTCACATGAAAAATCAACTTTATTATTATTATTATTATTTTATAGTAAATATACGAATTCTGATTATGTGGAAATTTTATATTCCGGTGAAGAAAAGTCCACGTCATTGACACGGCTTCATAAGAGTGCAGTCCTTTGGGAGAGGACTGTCCTTAAAAGTGTGGAAGGGGTTTAACTCTTGTGCTGTTTGTGAACACGACAATTATCTCCAACTGTTTCCAAGCAATTTCACACTTTGAGGTTCAAATTCAATGTGGTGCCAAGGGTCATTATTGCACATCATCACTCAAATAAAAAACAAGAAGAACAAGTTATGCCCAGTGGCATTAGTTTTCATGGAGTATATCTATCATCATCAACCTTATTAGCCTTATTGCCAATTTACTCCCTCCATTTTCTTTACTTTTCATCAGTGCCCAGATTCTCCATAACCCACTATGCTTTTCATGGTCTCTCTTTGCTTTTACTTTTTGCTTCATCTTCCTGTGTAAGTATTGGCCACTGGTTAAAGTTTTTCTTTTTGGTGTACTATGCATAGGTGCCACCTCCCTTTTTGTGAATCTACCAGGTATGTATGACCCTTTTGAGTAAAGTTCTTTTTCTTTTTTGCTGTGTTGCAATCCTGTATTTGTTTGGGCACTTTACTGTTTTCTTCTATTCCATCGAATGTTTTTCTAAGATTTCTTTATATTTGATGTGTGTTTAAGATTTGGCTTTTGAGTTTGTGAGCTATACTATATTGGGGGGGTTTTGTCACTACCTCTTTTAAAGATCTTAGTTTAGTATCTGTGCTTTCTTTTTGAAAATAAAACAAAATTGGGGATATGCTTCAGGTGTTTGTGGAGGAGGTTGTTCATTGGTAGCTATTGTTTTACAGGTTCCTTGTCCAACATGAGTAAAGTTTGGCCCTTGGTTTTCATGGTTCTGTCCATTGGATGCTTTTCAAATGGGAGTGGCAGGCAAAATTTTACAGTACCAGAAGTTGTAAATATTGGGGCTCTCTTCTCTTACAATACCAGTGTTGGTAGAACTATAAAAGTTGCATTAGAAGCTGCGTTTGAAGATATAAATTCCGATCCAAATATTCTTGGTAGAACCAAGCTAAACCTCTCACTGCAAGAAGATTCTAAGTACAGAGGTTTCCTGAGCATTGCCGAGGGTATGTCTTTCACAGTATCACCCTTGTTATGTGTTAAAGCCTTAAAAATAATCTTTCTCAGCCACAGATGAAGTTACTTCAACTCTGTCAAATTATAGCTCTGCTTGATAACAGTTTTGCAGGTCATGGCAAGACAGACAGTGGCGATAATAGGCCCCCATAGTTCTGTAACAGCTCATGTCATAACTCATATTGCAAATGAGCTCCAAGTTCCTCTTCTGTCATTTTCAGCTCTTGACCCTACTCTTTCTTCGCTTCAATTCCCATTCTTCATTAGAACTTGCCATAGTGATCTTTATCAAATGACTGCAATAGCAGACCTTGTTGACTACCATGGCTGGAAAGATGTTATCGCTGTCTTTCCTGATGATGATAATGGGAGAAATGGAATTAGCACATTAGGAGATAAGCTTGCGGAGAGGCGTTGCAAGATATCATATAAAGCAGCTTTGAGGCCCCAAGCATCTATGGAAGAGATTAGTAATGTGCTTGTTCAGGTGGCTCTGGCAGAATCACGGATAATAGTTGTTCATGGCAATACTCAACTTGGCCCCCAGGTGTTCACAGTTGCAAAGAATCTTGGGATGATGGGAACTGGTTATGTCTGGATAGCCACTTCTTTCCTCTCTGCTCTGCTTGATATTAACTATCCTCTCTCTCCTGATTCAATGGATGAAATTCAAGGAGTTCTTACACCACGTATCTACACGCTAAATTCACAGCGCAGAAGAAGTTTTGTTTCTAGGTGGAAAAACTTGACCAGGGCAAATACTGCCAATGTCAAGCTTGGATTGAGTTTTTTACCTATCTATGCATATGACACTGTTTATGCACTTGCTCATGCTCTTGATGCATTTTTCAAAGAAGGTAACCAAATTACATTCTCAACGGATTCAAAGCTGTCTAACATACATGGAAACAACTTGAATCTTGAGGCCTTGAAAATCTTTAATGAAGGAAATCTGTTACGTAGAAAGATCTATGAGGTAAACATGACTGGTGTATCAGGTCCATTCAAGTATACATCCGATAGAAACCTTGCTAATCCTGCATATGAAATCATTAATGTGATTGGAACAGGAACTCGACGGATCGGTTATTGGTCTAATCACTCTGGTTTATCAGTTGTTCCTCCAGAAACTCTTTATTCCAAACCAGTCAATCTGCCCAGGAAAAATCAAAAGCTGTTTCCTGTGATTTGGCCTGGAAATTCAGATGAGAAACCTCGTGGTTGGGTTTTCCCAAACAATGGAAGGCTCTTAAAGATTGGAGTACCAAGAGGTGTTAGTTACCACGAGTTTGTCTCACAGATAAAAGG